GCTCTTAATCTCAGTAGTCTGGATCACCTTGTATAACCAGTTTCCTCCCTCCTCACTATACAGTAGTAAAAGGAATCTGTGATTTCTTGAATGAAAGTTACCATGGCTGGGAACTTGAGCTCATTATTTCCAGACAAATGAAGTAGAAAAATGATTACAGGTCACTAACACATATATGAGCTTCAAATTGTTTTCACAAGACCAAGACTGTGATTGCTTGAAATCTTTTGGAAAAGGACTTTAAGACAAATTATTTCAGAGTTTCCCTTCTTCCTCCCTTATCCCATTAATTCTTAGTGTTGCTTATGTGACTATATCCTCACACTGGCCTCAGAAAAATCACGTTCTTTCCATTGCTACATTGAGCAACTCCAGGCACATAATACTTATCCCTCTTTTTGGCATAATCCTTCCTTTGACTATGTACCATTTTCCAGGAGGCTTGGGAGAAAATCAGTGTGAGGACATTTTAATGAGATAAATTTCAGCATTTCAGTTCAATAGAAATGACATTATAACATTTGGAATAACCAGTAATATAAAAAAAAAGAGAAAACCTCTGTTTTGTTAGGTGGAGAGACTAAAGTTAAACTAGCCAACAGGACCATCTTGCCTGAATGAATAGAAAAAGGGAGCTGAAACCAAAAGTATGCAACCACTGGATAGCAGGCAACTAAAAGAAAGCCACAGGACTGAACACAAGAGAGGCAGGGTTAGGAGTTGTTAACTAGAAGTTACGAAAATAGTCAAACAAAATTGTCATAAAAAGGGGATGGAGGATGTAGTTCAGTGGGAGAGCACAGGCTTAGCATGCACAGATCCCTGGGTTCCATCTCCAGCACTGCAAAAAAGTAAAGAAGTCATAAAAATAAGACATTAAATATTGGGTACCTGAACTCAAACCTATCAAGTATCAGTAGGCAAGTCCCCAAACCTCTCATGGTAGTCTTACAAATATCCAGAATTGTTTACATCAGGAAAACTCCAAGCAGATACAAATATATACACAAAGAACTTCCTACAAAATACTATATCAAGTCCATTTCTTTATTCCTCAGCATTGTCTCACTCATTAGTCATAAGAATTTTGTTAAACTGAAAAAAAATACATAAGGTTCAAACATTAGAAAGAGATCTCTAATTCCCTTTCAAACCTGAAATTCTATGAGACATTCTCTTCCTTTGAAACTACCATAAGCAGTGTTATATATACTTGCCCATGGGCTAGATGAAAATAGAAATTACCAACTGTCACATTAAATCAGAGCACAGCTAAGTGATAGTCCCAAGGTTTGAGACTGAGGGCCCCAGACCTATAAGGCCAAGTTCTATGGCTGTAATCCTAGCATATGTGTTTACTTATTGAAGGCATTTAATTTACATTGAATGACTGCAGAACAAATGAATGAGTAAAGCAACTGCCCAAAGGTCACTCTGAACTTCACAGGCACTGAAGTCTAATTGATTCCAACAGAAAAGCAAACCAAATCCTTCATTTGTTCTCCAAGATTCATCTCTTCCCATAAAAATGAGAATTCTCAAAGCAAGAATTCTTCACACTAAATATTTATTTTCTTTTTGCAAAGAAAAAAGTCTATGCATATACCAAAAATTCAGGGAGCCAAGCAAACATCCAATAGCACCTGGTTTTCCCATATAAAAGCATGAAATCCCCTACTCTGAATCTCACAGTCCTACAGCTTGAAAGAGGACTAAAGAAAAGCCAAGTACATGGGCCATCTGGTGCAGTGGGAAGAAGGTCACGGCCAGGAATCAAATTTCTCAAATTCAGTAATAGCTCTGTCAGATACTACAGGAGCTACATATACCTCCTTGGGTCTCAGTTTGCCCATTTCCAAAGAGGAGGAAAAATGGAATTAATTCACTCAGCAAGCACTTAAATAAGGGGTGTATCTACATGCCTGGCGCCAGGGTTGACTAAATGATCTCTAAGGTCCCTTTCAGCTCTGAATATCTTATAATTCATATAGTCACACTTAGTAGACATTCTTTTGGCTCTGATCTGAAAATCTGGCTGGAAACATAAACAGACTTCTACATAAAAACACACATTTACCAGCTATAATTTGGACTTGGCAACATGAGTTTCACCAGAGTTAAGAGGAAAAAAGTACAAAATTTTCTTCAGTGAGCAGATTACTTTAGGCTACATTATAGCTCATATCTAAAAGTAATATGCATATTATCTAAGCAGGACCAACCACTATTACATCGAAGTCACTAGTGCATAGAAAGGGCATGTCCATTCTCTCCTTTTTAAAATCTCACCAAGAATTTTCCATATGAAAAGTCTCAAAAATAACATAGTCTCCCTACCAGATTTGTCCTTTTCCATTTGGCAAACCCTACTTTATTTTTTATCTTTTTCCCTTCTGTTTTACAGAGAACATCAGCCAACATGGCAACAGGCTTTTTGTTTATTTCCTTCCTCTTCAAAAACAAAGCCATGGCTTGAGTACATTTATCAGAACAAAGTCCACACAGAAAGAGACGGTTTTTTTATGCTTTTATGAAAGCCCTATGAACAAGACAGAGATGCCCACTTTTACCACTTCTATTCAACACAGTACTGGAAGTCCTAGCCAAAGCAATTAGGCAAAAGAAAGAATTAAAAGGCATCCAAATTGAAAAAAGAGAAGTCAAACTGTCCCTGTCTACAGACAATACAATTATATATGTGTGTATGTGTGTATATATATATATATATATATATATATATATATTCCTAGAGACTCCACAATAAACTATTTAACTAGCAAACAAATTGAATAATATTATACTATACAAAATCAACATACAAAAAACCAGCAGTGTTTCTATATGGTAAAAATAAGCTATCTGAAAAAATCAAGAAAGACACCCCATTATAAAAGCTACAAAAATATAATAAAATACCTAGTAATAAATTTTATCAAAATATTCTTGAAAGAAAGTAAAACAGAAATAGATGAATGGAGCCACATCTTATGTTCATGAATTAGATGATTTTTAATGGAACCCACTGATAAAGTCTTATTAGTATTACTGACGTTGCTAGTTTCATATAGCAATGTTTACTATAACATCAAAATATCTGTACAGCTATTTCAGTTTAGCAATTTCAAATCCATTTTATCTTTAAAAAGGAGGCATACTTACCTCCTTTTTAATTGTGAAAAAATTGGCACTTACTGTGACCTGCTCAAGATGACTCAATTAGAATAAGCTGTTCACTAGTTTTCAAACATATTCTTCTATCAAGTCAAAAAACCTTTAGATAGGTAAAGAAATATATTCCCTAATAATCCAGGAAAGAAAATATGAGAATTTTTAAATTAGGCATGTTAAACATTACATGAGAGCAAATGTATATAAAAAATTGAACTCAAAGGATTTTTTTAAATTTTGTTTAAAATGGCAAAATAATATGAAAATCAACCATATTATTTTTACATACTAAAATATACAAACTTTGTTAAACTCTTGTTATTACTGGCTTTTGACTTTAGATTTTTCCAACTTACCCCAAAAGAAAGACAGGAATGTGTGCAATATATAGGCAAGGCACAAAAAATGTTAAGTGTTTAAAGATTTAGACTCATAACTGAATTGGAAATCACTAATTACAACCAGAACTTACTAATTTCAAAAGAAGATAAATACTATTAAAAGCTTCTTTTATTAACATTCACTACATAAAAATATGCTCCCCAAGAAACTTATAATAAGGCTCATTTTCTCTTCTCCTTCAAGTCTTTCAGTGTCACCTTCTTAGTGAGGACTTACCATATTCATGCTAGAAAAAGCTATATCCTGCTTCCCCATTTCTTCTAGCAAATATCCCATCTAATGTCCTTGGTAATGCATATATTTTGTTTACTTCGGTGGAACTTGTAAGTCCCATGAGGGCAATCTGTGTCTGTGGTTTTTTTTTTGCAACATAGCTTCTATTACTTGAAAATGCCTATTAGCAGCACAGAATGAATGCCTTCCTTCTTTAACTTTCCCAACCCAAAATTTAGGAGAAAGAAAATTAGACAATGGATTGAACCATTTAAATAGTCCTTTGCTATGGATTCTCCTTCTTTAAACATCTTATGTGAAATTTTAAACGTATACAAAGGAAGAATGCATAATAGAATAAATCATGCTCCCAACAGTTAGCAACTCATAATATAAGGTTTTTCATTTATGTTCTAATTTAGAAGTTTCTTGCGCTCATTATTTTGAAGTGAATACCGATTTCATCGTTTGAAAATACTTCAGATGATTCCCTAAAAGATAAGGACTCTATTTTTTCTTCAATATATCTATTCAAATATCATTATACCTAAGAATAAAACAGTAATTCTGTAATTGTGCTACTTTTCTGTCCTGACATGAATAACTTCTTAAGGCTCAATAGTGGTGTTTGTCACCATTCACCAATGATCACAACTTGACAACTATTTGTAATGTCACTTCTGTGTCTAGCCTTGAGTTAATCAGCAATCAATACTCCCCGGTGCATAACACTTATATATAACCTGTGTATCTCTGTACAGTATCATCCTTGAACTAAAATCCTAACAATTTGTGTTGTTTTTTTGCTAGAAAGATGTTTCTGTCCAACTAGGACCCACAGTGACCAACAGAACCTTGAAATATCAGCCATACTTATTAGAATGCAATGATTATGGGTAGAGGTAAGGAAGAAGGCAATAAAAGGACCTGGATGTGTGTCCCTGGGATTTAAAAAAAAATGTGGCTAGTCAAACAGCATTCCTAAAAAATCTGATTTGGGTTTTGAACCAAAATTAGTAGGTGAAGGATTTCTAGGGCTTCAGAAAATAAGCCAGCAGAACTCTGAGTTGGGCATTTTGCATTAAAGTGCCTTCACTCTTGTAAATTGCAAAGCTTTCTATGGGCTCTGGATAAATATTTATCCACCACAGAACAATTCACTGAATTCATGAGCTTTCTAGAATGGCTTATAAACATATTGCCATCCTGGCTCTTACCTGTACTTTGAAAGCACCTTCATCGAGAGGGGGTGGTGGGGGAAAGTTTCCAGAGCCAGATGGAAGGACACCAGTATCATCTAGAGGTGGAGGTGGAGGTGGGAGAAAATCACCTATAGAAAGAAAATACACACACGAAGTTAATACAAATGTAATCCTATAGTATTCTTTTTAGAAGATATAATTGTTGGCATTTTACTCCTTTGTATAACTTTTTGCCTTGTATGGCAATTATTCCCTGTCTTAGCTCTCCTCAATTGAATTAACAGCCTTAAATTCCAGAGGAAAGAGGACCAGATTTGATATTTAAAAGTGGCATAGCTGAGGATGTAGTTCAATAGTAACTGCATGCACAAAGCCTGGGGTTTGATCACCAGCAGCACAAGATACAAAAAAAAAAAAAAAAAAAAAAAAAAGACATAAAAGCTAGTCTAGAGAAGTCAAGTACATTTAGCAAGAGCAGCGAATGTGCTTGAATTGGGGGATAAGGGTACTGAATTGTGGAGGACTTGATAGTTGTCTTCAATAAATTTTTAATCAAGCAGAGGAAGAAAAGCTTGTATGTATGTAAAAATGCTGTAATATTCAGTTTGTGAAGAATACAAACAAACTTTTGTAAATTCCCATAAAATAATATTGTGTCCAGGTGACAGAACAGTTACATTATGATCTAGAGAGCAAGTTCATTTTTTGAGGCTTAAAACTCAAAAACTCAGGTCACAGAGATTAAAAAGCAAGTCATAACAGCAAAACTATAAGACTATAAAATAATATTAATGAGGGGTACCAATTTGAAAAGTGATGAACATCTAAGTTAATCCACATCTAGCAAAAGGTTTGAATTTTATCATGCATAGAAGAGAAAGGAACATTTTGTTATAACATGATTACTGAAGTTTAATCTAAAAGTATATGTGGGACAGATGAGGAGACACTCAAGTAGCAAATATTCCACTTAGGAATCTAAATGCAATCCAGAAAGGCATCAGTAGGGTTCAGAATACCAAAAATTCCCAACATTTCTGATCAACAAGAACAGCTGTTGAAAGAAATAAACCTAATTCCTAAAATCTGAGGTATAAGCAAATATCCAAGAGCTGTATAGCACACAGTATATAATCTTTTCAAAATATTTTTTGCAATAAAGTTTATTATAGAAACAGAACCATACTTTTTCACCATCTTCTGTTTCTCTTCTTCCTTTCAAAAATAATATTTTGATGTTTTGGGAAAGTATTCTCTTTCCCAAAAAATTAAGTAGCTTTTGGATAGTATCAAAATGTCATAATTTAGGACTTTGGAGGAAAAAAAGAGCCTAAGACTCGAATGAGGAGTATAGCAGAAGAATGGTGAGTTGCTTCAGTTGTTCAAATGTACCCTTGAAATGGTTTACTTGGCTTCCACTGGCTTTACAAATAACAGTGTTAGAACTAGAAGAGAAGGAAATGCTGCTAAGTCTAGCCCCCAGTTAAATTCAGACTACAAAGGAGTCAAACACACATCTCCAGAGCAAGTGGCTTACTGGGATCTCACTACACAGGCACTGTGTTAAGGCTTTCTTATACGACCTCTTAGTCATGTAACAACATTCTATGAGGAAGGTTCTCAAACTTCACAGTGTTCATCAGGATCTCAGAATGGTCCTGTTAAAAGACAGATGGCTTGGTTCCATTCCCATAGATTCTGATCCAGTAGGTCTGGGGAAGGAGCCTAATAATTTGCATTTCTAATAAGTTTCTAGCAATTCTGATGCTTTGGGACCATACTTTAAGATCCACCACATTAAGCAAAGTATTGTATTATTCCTACAGCATGCCCAGAGGAGAAGAAAAGATCAACGACGTCCATCACATAAAATTATTTTTTCTATTCCTCTTACTTTTCTGGGTGGCACAAATCTGAAAACAGGCTTTGTCCTTATCCTTTTTAGGTCTAGAAATGTCAATTCTAACTAATTCCATTCAGTTTTTTTAAACACTGCCTACATATAAGAATCATAAAGGAAGCTTATCTGAAAATGCTAATGTTAAAACTCTTTTATTTCAATTCAATCGGAATCCTAGGGCTTGGGTAAAAGGAATGAGGAGGCAGGACCTGGCACCAGTATTCCTTTAAAACCTACTAGATGCTAATATGCAGCCAGCTATGAGAAACTCTAGTTCGGCCATAGACTGCATGAAAAAAAAAAAAAAAGTTAGTAGCTGTTAAGTAAAAAGAACTGTCACCAAATTCTTTTCTGACTTTAAAGTCATAACACATGAGAAAAATACACACAAGACCATTTGTGAATGATGAGGCACAGAAGATCTAAGATGCCGAAGATATGAGTTCTGAATTGTAGCTCACAGCCTAACTGCAGGTTCAAATATCCTATCTGGACTTCTGTCTTCTTCATACCCACTTCAAAGGAGGATTTCTGAGTACCCTCTTATAATTTAATAGACTCTGTTATGTCGTATGGAGCTGTCAGAGCATCAGGCAGTATCAGAACTGGATGAAATCTTGGATTTCATACAAAAGAAGGAAAATAAAAAGCACATAGAAACCACATGGATAGTCCAAAATGACAAAGCAAATTAGATTTGGAATGAAAAGTACAACTACCTGCCTCTAAGATCCCTTCCAACTACTCTCCTTTAACTTATTTCTCTAATAGAACTTAAACATAGTGACACACTAGCTGATGATAATCCAGGGAGGGTAAAAAAAGAACAGTGAAGGAAAACAGAATGTATTTTTTCCTAAATAACTTGAAAACAATAGAGATCATAAATCTAGGCAAGATTTGGTGATAACTTCATAATAATTAATGGCTTTATTTAAATCAACTGTTAAGTTAAACCAAATTTTCACTTCTTCAAGGTCAATCATCAAAGATTTTTGACTGCATTCTGTAGTGAGGTTCACATTTTAGAAAGATATAGAAGAGCAGGAAAATGTTTTAAAATGGTTACAAGCATGATAAAGGGAGAGATACTGGGTTCTTTGGAGGTAAGCATGAACTAGTTGGAATAGGAGGAATGAAACACTTTTTAATAGCCATCTTAAATCAGACTAAGAATTATAGAATTCTGACTTAGGGTCCATCATTAGAAAGAAAGCATATTATGTGTAGAAATACATATATATATATATATATATATGGATTATCACGGTGAATCTTTTGAATGGATTCCTAAGAAATTGGTAACAGCAAGTTGCCTCTAAGCAGCAGAGTTCTGCAACTGAGGAGCAAAAATAGAAGAAAAATGTATTTTTCATGACTTAAATTTTAAACTTGACATTAGTTTATTCACTTAAACTTTTTTTTCCCCTTCCTCTGTAGACTGGGCCAGGGGAAGCTCAGAGGGTCCTTATCTTCTGCCCTTGAGGGAACCTTAAATTTGCATTTCAAGTTTGGCCCCCAGCATTCTAACAAGGATAGGAAACAGTCTTGAGCTCCTCAGGGGCAAGAGCTTCATTGCCATTTCTACTTTTAAAGTAAGACATACACAAAAATCATAGGATTTTTCAGTACCTAGAAATGTGTTATTTCCAAATGTTCAGCTGAGTAACAATCTAAAAACTACAAAGAAATACCATGGTATGACAGAGGCCAAGAGAATAGCTGAGGATAAGTTTTATTTAACGCCTCAATCCCTCCACCTTCTCCACCTATTGACTCTATTGTTTATAACTAAAAATACAAAACAAAAATTGTTCTGATTTATCCAATGTGTTTCTATGAGCAAGGAAGCCCTTTCACATTCTTTTCTGATCTGTTCTCTCTGACAAGGAAGAAGTTGCTAAATCTGACTGATCCAGCTACTACTGTAAGGATCTCAGTTTTACATTCTATTCTATTCTATTCTAATCTAGTCTAGTATAGTCTATTCCATCCTATTCTATATTCCATTCCATTCTGTATTAAACAAGAGTCTTGCTAGCACCTAACCTTGAATGTGTGATGCTTCTGCCTCCAGCTCCCACATAGCTAGGATTACAAGCATGGACCACCATGACTGCTGATCTCAGTTTTATAAAGAAGCAACTAGGGATCTCTTTTCTTGTTTCAGACCTTCTTGTTTGCAGACCCTGGTTCCCAGCAGTTGCCTGCTAGCCAGCAGTTGACTAGAATATACTTCTTGTTTCCAAAGAGAAAAATGTCAAGCCAGATCCTTCAAGTGTTGCACTTAATGAGCATAGGGCTTCTAAGATAAGGTGCTGTGAGGAAAGCATGGGGTGAAAGTCTGCTGTTTCCAAAGCCAAAGCCTGTGTACCATCTCAGTGCAACCACAGACCTCAGTCGCAGAGGAAGATCAAGCACTCAAGAGCTATTAATAAAGCAGCACTTGCGTTCCCATTTTGCTCTGTTTTTTGAGTGTGCAACTCCTTTGAGAACTCTCTGGGAGAAGTGCTCATTATCAGGATACTGGATGGGCATTCTGGTTGCCTATCCTCACTGTCATCAAAGTAGCAACCCTTTAATGATGCACCCTATCATGTAAATGGCCTTGACTTAAATTCTTTCCATTATTGTGCCAGATATTTTTAGATTCTGACTCTATATATATATATATATATATATATATGAATATACATTAGGAAAATTAACCTTCTATTGTTCTTCCACTTTTTTCTTCTATTTCATGAAAAAACAAATCTCTGTTTCTGATGGTAATTAATTTTATAATACACAATGTTACTTGAAAGGAATCACTAAGATTCAAGATAGCGATAACAAAGAAGACAAAAATGTTTGAGGTGATGAGTATGCTAATTAACTTGTTTTGATCTTACATGCATGTGTACATATATCAAAACACATATATCATGATATAAATTTGTGCATTATGAATCAATTAAAATAAGAATTTACAAATAGTAATGAAACACAGTATCAATGATGGTATAGGGAAACCAGCACTCTTGTGTCCTCCTAGTAGTAGAGATAAAAGTTTCCTCAAGAAAATTTGGCAAAAGGTATGAAATACTGAAAAACATAGCTACACTTTAATTTAGTAATACCACCGTTGATAAATGATTCTACAAAAACGTATCTGAACAGTATGCCTCAAAGCACATTATGGAATCTTTATCACAGTACACTATAATGGAAAAAGTCAGAA